AATTATTTTAATAATTAGGTTTTTTTGCTTGTTCACTGCCAATTTATCTATAATGGTATATAAGAATGACTTTGAGAGATAAGGGAAGCCTTGGAAATGATCAGAGTGGGGAGGGGAGTCCCTAGTTGATTAATGGTCAGAGGAAGAAACTTAGAAAGCCCTCCCCATTACTCAGATGGCTAAAAGTGATTTGTACCTTCAATCTTGCAAGATTCTGTTAAGGAAGCCTTAGAATAAAGCAGAATTAGCTTATCTAGTTATGTTTCCTGTCTGATTTACCTGGGAAGGCTGACAATAGCAGACCATTTTATGGATCTAAAATAAATAGATCTTAGCAACATCAAGAATTAAGGAAGCTATTATTTAGCTTCTTATATGGAAAGTAGAGGAAAAAAGGAAAAAAAGCAAAAATGCAGAATAAACAATAATTTTGAAAAAAAAATCTACTTTTTTTAAAAAAATAAAAAAAAATAAAGAAACAGAAATTACCAGGACAGATTATCGACTGGAAAATTACATGGTTCCCTCAAAACTTTTGAACATTATTATAATTTGTTTCTATTGCATCCTGTAAATTTATTTCTTTGGCTCTTTGTAATAAAAAGAGTAAAGACTGAAATTAAATCTGTGAAAAATGCCCTAGAGACTGGATATTTCTGTCATATTTCTTTTGCAGAGTATGATTTGCAGTATAGTAGAGACATTTTCCTATGCTGATCATATCCCCGAAGTTCACTCTACTTGCTGCTAATTAGTGAGATGAAAAATGCATCAGTGTTCAAACACAAAAAGGCTGTTCAGTAAATTTATGTTATTTATGGTTAATTACCTAGATTGTTCACTTTGCTTATAATACATTTGCTGCATTTGGATGTCATGGAAAACCAAGGATAACTCCTTGCCTTAATGCTAAATCCTCAGCTACAGATTGCTAAATCATAGTTTAGTTTCATGAGAAAATCTGTATCTTCACCATTTTTCTCCTTCCTCTTCTCCTCTGATGCGGTCAGTGGAAGTCAGTAGCTTCTTTTTCCATTTTAAATGAAACACAATCTTTTGAACAGAAACTAAGGTAAAACAGAAAATGGATAGCACAGAGCAAAAATCCTTCTCCTTGCATTCTCTTCTCATACTGTCCAATCAAAGTCCAACATATCAGCTTGTGAACCCAGCTGCATCTTCAGTTTTGCAGGATTCTTTGTGAGATGCAACACAAATAATTATTTCTAATATTCCATAAGAATATCCATGCAAGAATTCTGTATCAGTTTAAAAACAGTTCTAAATTTCAATGAATTAATTGTGTTTGAGACCTAGTGTAATTTACTTTTGGTTCTGCTGTGGAATGTTTGAGACCATGCCAAATCATATGCAGAAAATTTTGGCTCATCATGCTGTTGTGCTTCAGGTTTTTGAAGGGTGCCTTTTCAGCTCTTCTTCACAGAAATTATTAAGACCTTATTTATTTAAGCACATGACCAGAAAATGAAGATAAAATAGAATGTGGCTGGATAGGAGTGGGATACACACACAATTTTATCTGTCATTTGTATAAAGAAGAAAAAAAAATGAGATTTTGCTATTGCAGGATTTATGACAGCTCAGGTGGATTGTGATTTCTTGTTCTTTGTTTTTAACATTTTCAGGTCAACAGATTTGAAAAAATCATCTGCAAATTAAGGAGCTGGGGAGTAAAGGCACTTGATGTTCTGGAAATTATTTTAACATGGTTCAGCCATGTACTTATAATGGTATTACAATAGTATCAGTCCAGCTGCATATAGTTTGTCCTTTCAAATTTTGCCAGCAAATTTGTCAGCAGGGAAATTGAGCTGACTGCATCTCCAAATATTTCCAAGAAAAGGAAAAGTTTTCCAATAATTTCACAAGGGAAAAATGTCTCCTTAAGTAATAACCACACTGTGGCTACCAAAAAAAAAAGCCAGGGAAGGATTTCCCTTCTGTTGTTTTTCTTTGATATTGTAGTTTGAAGCATGAGTTGCTAGAGAAGCTGGAGACCACTGCACAATCACATCCATGTACAGGACATCCAAACATAAATCTTGGCCACCACAAGATTAAGTGCAATTCCATTCCAACTATTGACTAGTTAAAATATTGAACTAAGAATTTGGCTCCTGCCTTTTGGAATATCTTATTTCCTGAGGTGAGATCAGTTCCCACCCTTCTGACCTTCCACAAGAGCTTTAAGACCTGATGGCTTGCAGGTCCAATAGGAGAGCATCACACTGGAGGTGGTTGATTAATTAAGAGCCAATTCCATCTCCCCTCCCCTGCTCCCTTCTTCCCCACCTTGTAACTATGATTTTACTTTCATTGTACTTTCATTTCATTGTGTTAGGAATATTTATCTCTGATTATTTTAAGGTTTTTCTGCTATAAGCCACCCAGAGTTACTTCAAAATGAGATGGGCAGTGAAAGAAAGAAAGAAAGAAAGAAAGAAAGAAAGAAAGAAAGAAAGAAAGAAAGAAAGAAAGAAAGAAAGAAAGAAAGAAAGAAAGAAAACCAGATTCTAGAAGCTCACTAATGATTTCAGGTCAGTCATTCCCACTCAGCTTAACTCTTCTTGCAGGGCCATTGTTATGAGAAAAATAGAACAGAAGCCTATGCACTGTATACTGCTTTGAGCTCCTGAATGAAAGACAGGATATAATTGTAAATAAATAAATATTTCTCCAAAAGTTTTCTTCCTTTGAAAAAACATTCTAAAGGAAAGATACTTCGATCAAGTCAGAACTGGTAAAGAAAAAATATGAAGGGCTATTTATGTACTCAGTAGTTTGATTGTTGATTCTCTACTGGATAATTCTAGATACATTTGTTTGCCACTACAGTTGCATACTGTGTTGATTATCTCGTTAAGTTCTTCACTGTCAGCCAAAATCTGTTGCTGATCTATTTCAGCATTTCAATCCCAACTGATTTATATATGAATTTAATATTTTCCCCTCTTTGGTGTTCTTACATTTGTCATTTAACTTCCCATTCTTCTAATCAAAAGTGAATACAAAAATAATTCTACTCTTGATTTGCAGCAACAGACTACCGAAGTTTAATCTGTGTTATTAAATAAATTATTTAATGTAATTATATTTGAGTTGCATTAAAAGTGTACATCTCAAAGGCTTCTATTATATTCCAAAGCTTTGGGAACTGTTCCTGCAAATCATCTGAAGTCCCTTTAAATGTAATTTGCTAAATAGTTGTAGTTCTGCCATTACAGCAGAGACAAAAAACCCGCTGTGCATATGTACACAAATGGGATGCCCGCTTTATCATTGTGTTCTTTTTCATTGTTTACTCTATTGTTCCATATTTTACTATTGTTACGCTTACACTTATTTTCATTTCTCTTTTTATTGTTGTAAGCTGCCTAAAGTAGCCCCATAGCAAAATAGGTGGCAGATAAATGTAACAAATAAAATAAATTGGAGTGAACAAATGCAGCCAAGAACATAATGAACTGAATGATAGCAGGGTATGGTCTCAACATGCTTGTGTGGAACAAATGCAGTTTAAAATAAATAATATTTACTCATGCCCACATTAAGAAAGAAACTTATTGTTCTATAATATGATTCCACAAATTGCTATATGATATCACTATAGCCAAGACCTAATGTTAATGCAGATGAACAAGTCAAGAGTCTTGTTAACACATCAATTCCAGCCATACTAATTCAGTAGTAACAGAGATTTTAGGCTGTAATCCTTAGACCTATAGTCTAATTTTATACATCTCTATTTTAAAATAAATTTAATTCACTTTAGGTGGGATTTAATTCTCCTAAAAGCATATGATTCCATTTTACTTAGAATAAGCACCATCAAAATCATTTGGACAAATTTGAACAAATGCACATAGGACAGCACCAAGGCTGATTTTTGCTAATTTGTTCAGCCTGCCTAATTTTGGTGGCCTCAAGTTATGTTGAACAACATATCTCATAGTGCTTATACAGGTGAGTTGTATAATAGTAGTTAAAGTCCAACAGGTAGAAGGCACCTAGTTTAAGAGTGAAATGTAGTACATTTGATATGGCGGTTTCAATTATTCAATCCAATTAAGTATAACTTGCTCTTCAATTTATATAAATTTGATGATGGGAAAAATCTACATAATTTATTGTTATTAAATGATGCCTTTAAATATAGCACTAAGTAATTTATTAGGAAACATGACAGCAATGGGAAAATTCTTATTCTAAGATTATATTTGCCATGTGTCAATTTTATAAATACTTATATTCAAAATAATTAAGACTTAAAAATGAGTTGGTTGTTAATTAGAAAACTCTTTTTGTTTAATTAAAATGTCTCCAATCTATAATCTATCCAATTAGTTGGTTAAATATGATTACAGTTCTAACATTTTCCCACTCACAGTTGCTAAAAAAAGAAGCTACTTTTTTGCTATTCCTTCTTCTTCGTTCTTGAGTTGAGTTCAAGACAGAGATCCAAACATTACAAGAAGTATTTTGGAATTTTTTTCTGCATGCACAAACTCATAATTTTTTTCAAGTTAAATTTTTAACATGCAAGTTCTACCTAATTTTTTAATATTTCAATGAAGTTTTTTAAATTATATTTCACATGCAGATTATTTTATACTGCTTCATACAGTATCTTCATTTTCAATTACTTTATAGAAAAATACTTTGCTACTTCCCAGTTAAATTTAAGTTCAACTGAATCCTATTTCCAAGAATGAATATAGGTATATAAACATTTATGTTTTTTATTCCAATGCTATTGAAGTGTTTAGTCATTTCATCAGAACTATATATTACATTAAGGAGTATGTACATGTATGTGTTTCAAATTGAGTGACAATACGTACCAGCCTTATTGTTATTTTTTTATTTATAGATGTATAACTTTTTCTTCTCACACACTTGCTCTTTTTTCAGGATTCACTAATTAAACATACAGTACTTTGATTTTGTTAAAAAAAGTAAATAATATATTAAGTACTTACTTGTAGGCTGTTGAAAATGACAAAGAAGACCAGCATCCACAGATGCCTGTAAGCCATGTGCAGTCCTCCCCATAGCCATGTCATGGAAATGAGCGCAAATAAGTACAAAACCAATGGGATCTCTAGAAATCATAAAAACATGAATTTATCAAATTGACATGCTTTGAAAAAATACCTTTGGATGTTAACAGCCTATGAAGATATTTTAACTTATCAGTTCTTCTGTAACCATCAGTCCTATCTGTGATGACTAGGCACAGTCTTTCCCATCAGTACTCTGTTAGAGCTAAAGGCAGCTGACTGGGAATTGGAGAAGAAACCTTTAAGCCTTTTGGATGGATTATTCAGCAGATGAGCTCATCCAAAAAACTGAAGGCAAGCTCAATCAATCAATCAATCAATCAACCAGTTCTGGTAGCAGATGATGAGGTTAATTTACTATTCTCTTAAAAAGAGTCCGGGCAAGGCACCACATTTATTAATTGGATAAAGTATAGCTGGGCTATGTAAAACAGTACTGGAATTTATGCATTAAAACATGTTGAATGAGTAGATGAGCAATAAATAATCAATGATCTGATGAGAGGATATTAGGTTTCTATGCCCTGGATGGAGGGAGGGAGGGAGAAAAAGAAGGAAGGGAAGGGAAGGGAAGGGAAGGAGAGGAAGGAAGGAAGGAAGGAAGGAAGGAAGGAAGGAAGGAAGGAAGGAAGGAAGGAAGGAAGGAAGGAAGAAGGGTTTTAGATTGACAAACTAGATTCCTTCATTCCATGAAAAATGCAAAGTTAAATGACATGATTGAGCTTTGGAGTTGACATTGCACTCAAAGTAGATGCCAAAGTTCTTATTTATTCAGCTATGTACATTTAAATTTGTACAGGTGTTTTGCAAAATGTCACTCTTTCTCTATAGTAACTAACACTATTTTTAAAAAAAACTCTGAAAGGATTATTAAATATAGGAACTTCATAACTTAATCAGTTTTCAAACATATCTATTCATAATAAATTATATATGGAAGTGAGTAACGAACAGCATAGGTGCCTTTCAGCAAGATAACAAAATATTGCTTCAAGGTTTTCAATACAACTGCCATCGTAAGAATGAAACTTTGCAAATCAATGCTTATCTTTTTCACAAAACAAGGGCAGGTTGAAGTGAAATGTTGCTAAATCCTCTTGTACTGGTTCTTGCTTCCAATGTTTGCAGCATAAAATGTGAACAGTTACCTAGTTTAAACCTTTATCTGTCTTGCTTCATAATGTCAATTCTGATTTAGCATCTCTCCAGGTTTCCGATAGATGTTTTTCAAGGTGCTGCCATCCAGATCATTTGACTGGAACTCTTTGAATCTGGTATTTTATACACTTCTTACACCATTTGAAATGTTAATCCCCATCTAGAGATGGGTCAATGCATATGCTTAATCCTTTTCTGAACAGCTGTTTGCATGCCGTTAATTTTAACAGTTTTTGGAAGGTTTGGCAGCTTTCTGTGACTCAAAAGCATTATTAAAACAAGATACTATCTTAAAATAATGTTTTCTTTAGGATGTTTTAAAAATTTAACATCTTGGATTCTTGTCTAGGATAGGTACTTCTTCTGCACTGTACTGCAGCCATACAGTATTTTAAGTTATTTCCTCAAGAAATCTTGGGGGAACAGGAATCTCTATTTTTAACTTTCTGCATTTAATTTTCAATGTTTTCTGAGATTATCCATCTATCTGGTGCAATACAAGAAAAGGAAAATAGAAAATAAAGATTTTGATATCTGCAGATCAACGTGAGAAAGAACATCTGAAGCCTTAGAGACTGTCTGTTGGCCAGCATAGAAAAGAGGCCAGTGGTCTGATTCTTTATTAGGTAGCTTCCCATAGCTCATTGGAAAAAAATATGACAGAGGTTTTGATTGCATGGATGGTTGTACGTATCTTAAGTTAGAGTTCAGTTTAATAAGACAGCACATATACATGGTCCACCAAAATGAATTATAGCATATGCTTATATACAAATCAAATTTATGCCAATGAACCAAGTTAAAAGTTCCCATCAAATTTTGTCCTGTAGAATTATGACAATAATCAGTTACAGCAGTTTTCAAGTATTTTCAGTATAAATGTACATGCAGCAAAATCCTGGGAGAAGGGTGGTGAGTCAGGGTAGAGTCAGTCTAATGGGACTGATTGATGAAAGCAACATTATGCTGTTTGTGATGAAGCCCTGGCCTTTTCAATGTGCATTGTAATGCACGTCCCAAAAGGGGAGGGGGGGGCTTGCAGCATAATACTACTTTCATCAACTTGGCAAATGATGGAACCTAGAGATGTCTATTTTTATACATATGTATTCTGTTTCAGTTTCTCTTTTTAAATATGAATCTTGCATAGCCTCTGTTTCATGAAGGAATTAAAGCCATTGTGCTATGAAATAATAAACTAATCAATATCCTGAAATAAATGAGGAGACAATGCATGAAGTGTTCATATAATGGTGAAATCTAAGAAATAAAATGTTATTGAAAAATTGAAAATATGTGGCCATGCCTTTCAGACTGTAGTGGGCCATAATTAATGTAGCAAAGATATTACAAGATTTTTACAACGCAATGTAAAACAGTTTTCTGTCCTAGTCCTAGACTATCCCTCTCTACTGGGTTTCTGAAAAGCAGTAGCTCTCAGTAAAGCTTTTGGGGATGAAGGAAGGATTAGTCTGCCCTTGAGGGTGGTAAATCAAGTTGGGATTATGTTACTTTGATTATAGTTATAGGGAGCTTTCAGGAACTGAGAAGCAAAGAAATCAAAGAAATAAATAAACAAGCAAACATGTAATGAAAACTAAAATATTAAGAATCAAAAGGGAGAAAAATATTTTCTGATGTTTATTGAAATATAAATGTGCCAATAATAGAGCAAATGAAAAACACAAGCAAGATTTAGTAACTTAGAGAACCTGCTCTGTTGTCTAGTCTAACAAAGGAAATATATGTTTTTTCCCCTTGATACATGGTTAGCAATGAGTAGATTTGCAAACTAGAACTTTTCTGTGGAGTTCTTAGTGCTCTCTGATGTTACCTAGTTGATAATGAAATATCTGCAAGAATACCACCAAACTCAGAGAGCACCAAGGACTGCACAATTCAACCCTGAACTACAAATATTCTCTTCCATTGGTAGTGCTCTTCCTTAACATGGCCAGAATTATTATGAGGTGGATGAATCAGTCAATTTGTGACATATAAGAGTAATTTTAGTTTACAATGGCTGGTCTCCCTGCAGAAACAAGCAGAATAAACATAAGGCTTTTTTCACTGAAGCAGATAGTATTAACATGTAGGGATATCCTTTAATATTTCTTAATGAGCCAGGTAGATACTGGAGTGTATAAGTAGTTTTTGTCACTATATGGGCAAACAACATTGTGCAGATCTAATGGACATCAGCACAAAGGCCTCTGAAAATTAGACTCAATGGAGCTGCAAATAGTGGAAGAGCACTAACTTAACTCCAAATATTACAGAGCTTTGAAAGGGAATGTTCTACATTAATTCAGCACACAAAATAGAGATTTTGTGAACAGTATAACATTTCACGGTCTGTCAGAATTGACATGTTTTTGGAAATGAACTGACTGATGGGTAGAAGAAAAGCAAGTACAGATATGATTCCCAATTAGTATAAGCTTAAATTTTCAATGTGAAAACTAGAATAAGATGGTGACAGGTAGTAGATGGAGTGACAACTATGGGCAGAAGCTGCAATTGTCTGACATTCGTGTTATAGTAAAGTTTTAACACACAACAAGAACTGAGGAAGAGAAAACAGATGAAGGAAAGAGAAAGAAGATTTGAGGGTAGTAGTGGAGTTTAGGCATAATAGAGTATGACAGAAAAAAGGAAAACAAATGAGAAGCAGTGAAGCTATTTGGAAGTAGAGAAGTAATGCAGATAGGAATTCCAAAGCCCAGATGAATTTAACAGTGAGACATTAACAAAATAATGTACTACTGTTTCTTCTTATGTGTGTACAGTGCTATTTGGCATGCCAACAAAACTACTTGATTGCAGTAGACATGTATATCTAAACAAGCCCATCCTGTTGAATTGCTTATAACAACAGATATTCAAGGTAGGGTTCATGCAATGCTGAATAGGTTCATATATTTTCCTAAATCAGAATATGGTTTATTTAAGTTGGCTTAGTGTTTTTGGAGCCCAGCCAATGAAACAATAGATTCAGTATACTATTTGCTAAACAAACTATAGGTGATATTATATATGTTATAAATTAGCATTTTTAGCCAATGAATGCTATTCAACCAAAGAATCAATACACACACACAAATACACCCATCATGCTATTCCTTTTTGAGTAGGCAGTGTTATGCAACGTGGAAAAAGAAATCAGAAATAGTAAGAAAGAATAACTAAAGGTATTCAGGTTCTTAGCTAATGCTACAACTTTTCTAAAATCTACTCTTCAAAAATTACTAGTCCAGGTGGAAAAACAAATAATACAGTGTGCAAGTAATTCCATCACCTGGCCCCTATATTTACTCTTGCCAAAATCTTGATAATATGGCTTAATATCAAGCATAAAAAATATTGTGAAATGCTGGCAACCTGAAAACACATTTATTACTAGAAAGTTGTGGAATATCCTAGTGGATAATACAAATTTGTGTTCATTTAGCATCTCCTTTAAACTCAAAGTGAACTACAATTTCACATCTATTTTAAGAAACGGTAAGAATAAATTAATGTGGTCTAAAACTGTAATAAAAAGATTTAATATTTTTGGAAATTATATTTAGCCATAATTCTTAGCTTTATTGCAATCTGTTAGTTGTAATAATATTCAGCACAAATGCTTTGGCTTCCAAAAGTTTTAGTTCAAGAAGCAAAAACTTCTTATTTTATCTTTTATGTGAATATTTGTAAAAGGGTTAATGAATAGTTAATGAATAATTTTATGCTACCAACACTACCCAACTTGAATTCTGTTTATGATTCAGCATACTCATTTATAATCTTGAAATACATACATAAATCATTCCCATCTATAAATATTATGTAATCTATGGGAGTGTTTTGCTTCTATTACTGAAAGTCAGAGCTGGGAAGA